TGACTTTTTCAGTATCTAGGTTAATTTGTGCTTTCTTATTTGTTTTGTTACCACATGTCAGTGTCAATCAGTACAGACTGCATATATTCCAAGTGCTTGTCTTTGGAGTTTTAGCATTACTACCTGTAGGAGCCATATGTTAGTCTTTCCTTTTTTGGATTAAGAGGGTTGGTTTAAGTGCACACACTGTATTGGTGCACGGTTATGGGGCGTGACTCATGGGTGTGTATTAGATGATAAATGTCGTTGCACTCACCTGTTCACAGCACCTGCTGTTTGATGAGCAGAAAGGTGGGGTGAGCGTTATGGGAAACCTTCTATTGACCGCAGCTTTATGTATAGTTTAATGCACTAGTTGATGCCGTAGTCTGATGTTGTAGTTTGACATAACAATTGGTGTAATATTTTGTCAGTTGCAGTTATGTTTGTTTGTGCAGTCTCTGCATTTGTAATACATTTGATCCAATGTACTGAGTTGTGGGTTTGGACAGTACAATGTGGAATAAAAGGAACAAATAGCTCAGAAGTGCATTTTATGTGTTTATTGTTGCGCGTAGTCAGTATCCTCATGTTTAGCCTGCCACGGCCATTGGTGTTGGAGGAGCCGCAACACCACCAGTGAATATGCTTACATAAAGTCACTAACCTTTGAACCTATTAGGCATTAGGTATGACGCATTAGTTTTAATTATTAAAACACTTAAATGGTTACATTGTCAGTTGTGTAATCTAATCTAATCTGTAACAGGTTAGATTATCTAAAAGCTTTAAAGTTTACTAGTCATAATAATAATAATAATAATAATAATAATAATAATGATAATAGTTGTTGTTGTTGTTTTTGTTTTCTATGAGCATCATCATCATCCTCATTCCTGATTTTGCTGTTTGGTCTGTTGAACAGAAAGGGCCGCTATTGGCCCGAGTATGGCAGCGTTCGTCAACGCTGAAAAATGTACCTCCCCTTTAGATTTCCACACTGGTAGACAATGAAACGCACAGTAACCGCCTGTTCTCTTTTATAAGGAATACCGCTTACGGAGATCGAAAACTGTTATTCTTTTTTCGCTGAAACTGTCTTTGAGATATGGTCGGAATTATTATCATGATTCGTGTGGATTGCAGTTTTATTAAAAGGACACAGGATTATCCCTGCAAAGCAATGAGGCGGCAAGTACTGTTGTTCTTCTTGGTTTTCTCTCTCACCTCGGTGTTCGGGCAGGTCAGCTACTCCATTCCTGAGGAAATGGAGAAAGGGTCTTTAGTGTGTAATGTGGCTCGGGATTTAGGTTTAGACATTAAAAGGCTGAAATCCGGCAGAGCGCGCGTTCATTCTGGAGATAGTGCCGAATATATTGAGCTGAATAGAGACCGTGGTGTCCTCCTTATAAAAGAAAGGATAGACAGAGAAACGCTGTGTGGCGACACGACGCCCTGTGCTTTACTTTTACAGATGATTCTGGAAAATCCGATGGAACTGTTTCGAATAACAATAGAAATCACAGATATTAATGACAATGCTCCCAGCTTTGCGTCGAGCGAAAAGCGCTTTGAAATCAGCGAGTCAGCCATCATTGGGTCTAAATTTGTGCTGGAGAAAGCCATCGATGCTGACATCGGTACAAATGGTCTCCAGAGCTATTCCCTTAATCCAACAAACAACTTTGCGCTGAAATTAGAGAACCAAGCGGATGGGAGTAAGAAGGTGGAAATGATTCTACAGAAGCCTCTGGATCGAGAGCAAGATCAACATATATTGTTATTATTAACTGCTCTGGATGGCGGGCAGCCGCGTATGTCAGGTACAATGCAGATCACTGTTAACGTGTTGGATGTAAACGACAATGCACCAATTTTCACTAAGCCAGTATATAAAGCAACAATAACCGAGAATTCACCGGCTGGAACCAGCGTTATAACTGTTAGAGCATCTGACAAAGATGGAGGCTCTAACGGGGAAATATCATACGCGATTTCAAACAGCAAACGTCGTTTGTCCGATTTATTTCAGATTGATAGAAAAACTGGAGAGGTTATCGTGATCGGTCAAATAGACTATGAAAAAACGAAGCTCTTCCAAATAGATATAGAAGCTACGGACAATGGTGGGCTCTCTGATTCCAGTAAGATTCTCTTAGATGTTACTGATGTCAATGACAACAGCCCTCAGCTGAAAATACTCTCTAAGTCAGATGCCATTTTAGAAGACTCGCCTGAGAGTACTGTAATTGCAATGCTAAGCGTAAATGACCCTGACTCTGACAGGAATGG